CCGTAGCGGGATTAGTGAGACGGGGACGGGAACGGGTAGGCGGAGTACGACTTCTGCGTACGACTCTTGAGGAACCCGTCTAGGGGTACCCGTGATCCTGACACTCGATAAACCCGTGCGTGTTTGTCTCAACTTGGTCCAATTTTTCCAGCGTCTCCACCTGCAGTGTATCCAGCGGTTCCGACCAAACGAACCCTACTCGTAAGGGGTTCCGCAATCCTCCTGTTCTCGTCGCGATAACTTACCTCCAGCGGTTGGTCCTGACCAAATCCAGCGTTGCCGTGTACTGAAACATCTTGTCATCGACAGAATAGGTGAACTCTCAATATGCATGTGAGAGGAGAATGCAATCCGACTGTTAATCAATCTGTTGGAAGGAGAGTTGCATCCAACAATGTACTACTACTATGAAGAGGCGTCTACAAGAGTTTCGGGGGTGGGTTCAACCTATGACATGTAATTTCGTACTGATTACCACTATCAGCATTATCAGGTGATGCATCGGCTTTCTACGAGTACCCATCCCAAGATGACGATGATGATGACGACCACGCTCACTCGTTCACTCACCTTCAGAGGAGCAGGTAAAACCGTCTTCGCCAACAGGCTCGTATCCAGTTTGTTCCTCGCTCCACACGTCACCACCGGCGTCCAACATGGTGTTGGTGTTGGGTTTGACCTTCTGGTCCTGGTCGAAACGTTCAAGATGTGTAATCAGATGTTTGGATGGTTCGGTAACGCTCGTACACGTCTGAATCGGAATTCGTCCAGATTTACCAAACTCATCACTGTCGGTGTTTCTTTTCTTTTCTTTTCTTTTCTTTTCTTTTCTTTTCTTTTCTTTTCTTTTCTTTTCTTTTCTTTTCTTTTCTTTTCTTTTCTTTTCTTTCCTTTCCTTTCCTATTCTTTACCCCGAACGCTCTACTCTCTCTACTCTCTCTCCATGACGACCGACATCTTCGCTGATACCCCGCTTTTCGGTCACTTACCTTACAAATCACTCTCAACCAGCTCGATCCTACTCCTACTCCCACCCCGACCGGGATGACGATTGACATTCATGCTTGGGAGAAATCACGGGTCAGAGCAAGATACGTTCTGTTGATCTATCTGCCTATATATACCTGTCACGAACCATGTCGTGACATCCCTGACAACTACCATCACCGACCCTCCTTTCACCATCACCGAACCGCTATCCACCACCACCCCGAACCACTGAGACCAACTACGACGAAGTTACGAGAGCCTAGGGATTATTAGTCACAACAACCCCGCCTAACGGAGAACTACGGCAAAGTTGGGGGAAGGAAACCGAGGGAGAGTGCAGTAGGGGAAGTTAGGCAACGTTAGTCCGAGTAGGATATCGGGGATATGGCGAGGTACGGCGAAGTTGAACAAAGAGGACTGAGCGCGAGGCTGTACAGGGGTTGAGGGACGTTCTATGAGAAGAGAGGGGAAGTATAGATAGTTTACAGATCGCTGAACTTCTTCAGCGATCCTTGATTGTTGTCAGTAGTGAAAGACAGATAGAGATAGCTATATACAATCGAGATACATCACCATCAGTAGGACAAAACCCCAGTTAGAGTAACTACGCCGAAGTACGCCGTAGTTACACTCCTTTCGACGTCTGCGCCCTCCTGGTTGGGTGAGACATCGAATCAGGACCACCAAGTTAGCCGAGGTTCGTCGACCGTCGGTCTATTGGAAAGAAGTTATTCGACGGCTGTGACAGTACCATACTGTGAAGCGGTCTCCGGAGTTGAAATGGCTTCCATGACAAGCTTACAGCTCGTCTTTCTTCCCAACAAAGGATGTGAGTGTCGCTTCCGAGTACTTGCATGACGTGCAAGGTTCGTTCCCCTCTTCTCTACTGATTCAGAGTATCTTCTCCGCTCTAGCTCTAGGATCCAGCGTTTGACGTCTGATTCTCCTCGTGCATCCTCTTTATCTTCTTTCCCAATTGAAGATGCGAGCTTGTGCCTTGAGATTCAGCTCCTCCCAATGCCACGTACGATCGACCGGTGCCCACAGCGTTTGCAATGCAAAACACTCAAAGGGTTGCACAAGGCATGGAGGAATAGAGGGATGGAAGGGAATGCCGAAAGCTGCCTGTCGGTCATCGGGCGTATATCGATGAGCTACAAGTCAGCCGCAAGAGCAGGAAGTTTCAAAGAAGGAAGGATGTTGCGGCAGAGGTGAGGGAGACCTACACAATTCCTGACAACCTGTCCATCCTCGCACACTTTCTCAAGAGTGACACCAGCTGTCAGGACCAGACGTCGGAATAGTCTCCGTCGATGAGCTATGGCTATGAGGCCTTGTAGGGAACAAACCTAGTGATGTGGTGTATCAAAGAGATCTCTGTAGATCGATGAGATGTATGTCAAGTGATATATTTAGGAGAACACAAAATACATTCGACAAGACCTCGTTGAGAAACGACTACATCTATATACTAAAAGGATTGCGGAGTGATACCGATATGGGGCATGCGTGGTTCGAAAAGAGGTTGTGGTGGAATAGCGAAGGAAGAATGATGAATAAGGTAGAGATGGGGATGTAAAAAAGCGTAGCAGTGTAAAAGGAATGGTACTAGGCGTAGTATCAGCCGGAGTGACCCCGGTTGCGGGAACCGGACACGGAGACGGGAACTGTAGATGTAGTACGACTACTGAGTCATGTACCCGTGATCCTGACACCAGCCCACCCGCATGTTCGATAGTACATATGTGCCATGTTCAATAGTACAATGTTCGATAGTCCAATGTTCAATAGTACAATACTCAATGGTTTGACGGTTCAATGGTTCGATATCCAATGATTCAATGTTTGATGGTTTGATATACAATAACCAATGTTTGATGTTTGATGTTTGATGTTTGATGTTTGATGTTTGATGTTCAATGTTCAATGTTTGATGTTCGACGTTCAATGTTTCATGTTCAATGTTTGATGTATGGTACGATATACAATAACCAATGTTCAATGTTTGACGTATAGTACAATATACGAGAACCAATGTACGACGCTCAATGTAGAATAGCCAATGTATGATAGACAATGAACGATAGATGGTGGCAGATGTACAATGTACGATGTGCAATGAACGACTTTGAAGATATGTTACAATTCACGACTTTGTTGATGCGGAATGATGTGCCCAATGTCACGATTTGAGATTTTGACGATAGGTTACTGGACAATGTGCACCATGTACCATGTATGACTTTGATGTTGTACAACTCTGATCATGAGACCAACCTGGACAATATACAGTGCATGACTTGCGACATTGTGACTTGAGCACAATTGGCGGATTAGACTGTGATGTGGTGAGCTTGGTGGGAAAGAGTTGGGTTACGATATCCCCATCAAATGTGCGAAAACATCGAGATAAGAGAGATACAGTGATACAGTACTTGTTCCCACGGGGTGCTCGAACGCACAGGTTGTTCAAACAAGGATCATTCATCATATACATCTCGATAGCAATCTTTTTTTCAATCCATAGGATTGCACTCTTATTCTATGTACATCATGTGAGATGCATCCTTGGTTTAGTCCTGACCAGATGGGCCTTCATCCTGCACATTCTCAGATGTCTGCGCTTTCTGACCATGGATAGTGTCAGACAACTTCCCCTTTCCCCTTTGACCCCCTCCTGTGCACTTTTGTTCCTCCCTTCGTTGAGTCTCTACCCATGTTGCGAGTTTAGATGTCAGCCGAGTGAGTTGACATGCCATCGCGCCCTGTCAGGGTTTGGAATGATGGTACGCTACCTAGTCGTGACGTCATCTCTGAGAGCTCCTGCAACGCCGACGTACAAGTGCCACACGACGCGGCGACGGCAATTCTCACAATCCCGCAGATCGGTACATAAACCCCCCTCCGCCACAGTCCCGTTGGCCGTCGGGTTGAGTGAAACACTAGAGACAGGTCGCCCGCTACGCGGGCTCCCGCCCGTCGTGCAGGTTTGTAAAAGCTGCAGTCAAATCACATGCATCCACAACCTATGTAAAAGCAACCTCTTCCAATCAGCAGATCAAAGCAGAAGATCACGAAACACCACATTCTGAGTCACTGTATCCTCCTTGCCATAATACACCCTTCCATCCTGCCTCGTCTTGAACCTGGAGACCGCGGTGTAAAGTTGTCCATGGGAGAAGGCCGGGTTTGACAGATCCAATCCTACACGGTCCAGGGTCAGGCCCTGGCAGGAGTTGAATGTGGTTGCATACGCCGGGGCCAGGGGGAACTGCTTGCGTTGGAGGGTGAAACCCTTCCTTGGCAGAGGGTGTTCAAACGTGATGCGTGGGATGAGCACAATTTGATCATGGAGCATACCCACACCATTAACCCCTCGAATCAGCTGGCACTTGATCGTCTGCCGACCCAGAGTGACCACCTTGAGGCGGATGTTCTTCACCAACCCACGTTCCTGAGAAAAGTTGCGGAGCAGTCGGACTATGGTGTTGACCTTGATGGAGAGAACGTGGGGAGGGAGTCCGGGAGGCGTCTGCGAGTGGAGGAAGTCCTGCTGGGTCTCTGGGTTCAGGTTACGTCCGTCGTCCCCATCAAGCGCTTCCACCTCCTTGATTGTGTCACTTGAGTAACTGACACGCTGATCGCCTTCAATGGTTGCCATGATGTTGCGGTTGTAAAGGTCGCACTGGCGGTTGGTGGCGCAGAGGATCGCACGATGCAAGCAGGCGGCTGCATCACCACGCATTGCCATTGGGAAGACGAAGTCCATGAGGGCATCACCGCTGGCAGCGGTGGGGATCATTGAGAGGTCAACCTTGTTGTCTGGCAAGGCGGTGGTTCCGTCTCCCACAGTGTCTACCATCTGAGCCAGCGCAGGGTCCGTGGCGTTCCGGATGGGGGTGAGGAGGCGATGGATGGTGAAGTGTTGCCAGAGGAACAACAGGCGCATTGAGGCATTGACTATCTCTGCCATTGACCCCCCTCTGATCACGGGTGCGCACTGACGGAAGTCACCCAACAGGATAAATGGTTTCCCACCAAAAGGCCGGTGTTGATCCCCCAGCTGACGGAGGAGGGCGTCCACACATGCCAGTACTGCTGTTTGCCATCGGGGCCTCATCCCAGAACAAGCAGCATGCCTCCCGTATGAGGTCCGCTCTTGCTGTGCCCAACCTGACCATAGACTCCAGCTCCTCGTTGCGCTCGTTGACGGGGACCTTGAACAGGGAGTGGATTGTTGTGCCACCTTCATATAGGACAGCAGCAAATGCCGATGAAGCACCAACCAACGGTATTCGTCCCTCAGAGCGGAACTTGTCCAGAAGTGCCGCCACCAAGTAAGTCTTCCCCCGTCCAGCTTTCCCGTTGATGAACACGTAGGTTGATTGTCCTTCTGACACGGCAGAATCAATCAGCTGGAAGATGGCCCTCTGCTCCATGTTCATCCCATGAAGACGGTTGACAGCATTTTCTCGGAGCTCCAACCGTCGGTCCGCGTACAGTCCCATATGGTGAGCTACCTCCCCTTCAAACTCATCTGGCACCGGGAGTCCAAAGTCAGCAAGCGACTTCCCGTGTTCCCCCAACATGCGGCCAATCTCCTGCAATGCCCTCTCCCTTCCCCTGTTGACATCGTTGTGAGCGTGCAGGGTGAAGTCGTTGGCCATGACATCTCCGTACTCTTCCCAAAGCAGGAGCGGGCTCTCCGCATCATTGATGAGGAGGTCAACAAAGAGGGCACGCAGCGTGGCGGGGGTGGAGAACCCTTCAACACCCTCCCTCAATGCCATTTGAGCCTCATTCTCAGTCACAAACAGCCCCAGCTGGCTTGCCGCCTCCGGAAACGTATCATATGCCACACCATCAACCAACTTCAGGTCGTCAAATGATCGAGCAGGGCGAGCACCCAGCAGGGCTCCGAGGTAGAAGAGCTCTCCCTTTGATGCCTTCACCACAGCGAGGCGAGTGACGTGGCGCCCTTGCCTGGGGAAACTGCCTTGGGGACCTGGCCGGCAGGTAGATCCGTCTCTTCATGAACAGGAACCCCCTCAGACGGTATGTAACCCCACGTGGCGAGCCGGCAGTAGCGGAAGTAGTCGCACATGGTGAGGTTGTCGAATTCAAGGTTGTGTTGCTCGCCCGGTGAGAGCACTGTGAGGAGTTCCGACGGGCGGTGAAAATAGCGCAGGAGAGGTGACATGGACCCGGCCTCACCTCGAGTCGTCCCATACTGGATGGTGTTGCGGCCGGGGAGGTGGATCGGGAGGCATTCCACACCGGGGTCCTTGTCGGAGATGTTGTAGCCCAGAATCCTCCATGTGGCTTCACAGGCCGCCAGGTGACGACCCCTCTGAAAGTGGTCCGCCTCATTGTAAACTTCGCCGGAGGTGAGTGCCACCGAAGAGTAGTCTGGCCCTGTCATGAATCACGCCATCACATGTTCCTTGTTGCGCAAATCAAGTCCAACCTCCACTCTCGTGTCTTTGATATTTCACCTCTGCTCTCATGCCTATCAGGCATAAACTCCAAGTATCATTTAGTATGTCGGTGCTTAGCTCCCATGCCTGCAAGGCATAAGTCCCCAGTAATTCTCTAGTCTCTAGTTCCTCTGTTCTAATGCCTGCTAAGGCATAATCTCTCAGTCTCTTGTTCTCGCAGCACTTCTATGTTCTGCATAGCTCCTCATAGTTCCTCACCGAACACCTTCGACAAAGTCGAGCGACTTCCGGCGCATCCCGTAGGATGTCATAGTAGGACGTAGGTAAACACAGATATGGCATTGTAGGATATCAGTGGTTATCGGTGGGATGCAAGGCAATGCATGCAGGACAGTGCAGGACGGCTCAGAGCGCTCGTATTCCGCAGGTCTGCACGAGCCTCTTGGAAAAGGCTGATTTGTCTATATAAACCCTATCTTGTACTTTGTAATCTTCTTTAGTTCTTGATCAAAAGTCATTTCCATTGCCACCCTTTTGGAGTGCAGTCCAGTCCACTCCAGTCCCTTGTAAGACAAGCCAGAGACATTCCTTGGGTCACAGTCCCATTCCTTGTTGGACTCAATCTTGCTAACTTAGTATATTCCTTGTCACTCCTAGTCCTTGTCCCCTTGTCCTTTGTCCTCTGTCCCAGGGTGGGCAGTATCCTTGACAGGCCCCTTGTGAACATACTGGAAGAGGTACTGAAAGAGGGCAGACGTTCCGGCAACATCAACATTGATGTGGCACTGGTGACGTGGGAGGAGCTCAATGTTGTAGGAAGCAACCCACTTGTCACCTCGGTTGAGACGTCTGTACTGAACCCTACCGAGATTATCCATGGTGGTTGTCGGCTGCAACGCGTGTGGGAACCCAAAGCGACAGATGAGCTCCCCATTGACTTCACGCTGACAGTATCGGCTGGGAGCGGCTGGGTTGTGACGGTGGATCATGAACCGGTTGACCAACTCGTGGTCATGTGGCTCAAGGGGAATGGACGTGGAGACCACAGAATCGATTGCCTCTGGGGTGATGAGGTCGCGTGGATAACGGAGGAGGATGTGAGCATGAGGGAGGCCACGCTTCTGGAACTCAATGACCTTGATCCAGTAAAGAGCAGGTCCAATGTCGGGGAAGAGGTTTCGGAGGTCCTTCATGATGTGGCGGAGTCTCTCGTGGAACACGCGAGCAACAATGACGGGCTGCTCAGTGAAGTCCTGACCGGGGCACAGTGCTTCGGCGATTTTGGGCCAGTGGGGGTTGCAGGTGACGGTGACAAATAGGGTGGGCTGACCGTATGTTGCCGCAAGGGCTAGGCAATTTGCAACGTTGGCCTCTGTCCATGCACGACCCCCAACAAATGAGGAAGGGAGGTAGATGTTCTGATTGTCCGGCACTGTGTCTTCTTCTCCATCCATGGCTTCCGCTGCTCCATCACGGATCCGACCATCTGTTGGTGCCCTTGCGGCGCTCTGGCGTGTGGCAATGAAGTACAGCGCATTTTCCAGGTAGCGTGACCACATGTCTATGACATGTTCACAGGTGAGGCGCCCAAAGATCACAAAGCGAGGCTCCCGCAGGAGGCGGAGGCGTACATGCCAAAGGATAGTGGGATCCTGCTCCTGGTCGGGCTCCCAACCATGCCCAAGGGAGCCATGAGGGAAGAGGAGAGGATAGGCGAGCGGCTCCCAGAACCTGGACCACGTGGGTACAAACACTGAGTTCCCTCCAATAGGGTTTCCTTCCACATCATGTTCAATGGTACCATCCGGCAGTCGGCGGGGTGTGATTGATAGGCTGCAAGGCTGCACCTCACCCCTTGCAGTGTTCTGTATGAACATGACCGCGGCGACCTCCCTAGCAGGGCCAGGGTCTCTGACAATGACAGTCATCTCCGGTCGTTCTTCACTGGGGAGTTGGCGGAGGTGGATGAAGCGGATCGCAAAGGGGTTGATGGACAGCATCATACGCTGAACGGCCTGTATCCAGAAGGCAGGGAGGTGGAAGTTGGGGAAAGGGCGCATTGCTTCCTCAGCGCCATCAAGGAGGTACCACCTGAGGGCGGAATCATTGTGTGTTGCTCTGTGCTGGTGATACACCCTCCCCTGGACGGCAAAGAACGAAAGAGGCACGTTGTTGTTGGGGAATGGCCCGCTAGTTTGGATGGCCACAAAAGAGAAGATGAGGTTGAGCTTGCGGGAGTCATGCGACTGTCACGAAGTGACAAGACAGTTTGGTTAGAGTTGGATGGGTTGGGTATTTAACCAGCGACCGACGGTTACGATAAACCGCCGGTTAATAGGCCTTTTAGCACAGTGGTTTAGACTGCTGCCTCTGAAGGGCACTGTTATATCGTCCCAATGCTGGTTAGTTGGTCTCGTGACAGATTAACCGGCGGTTGCGGGTAGGGTCCTGGGTTTGACTCCCAGACAGAGCTGGGGTAACCCAGACCTACTTGGAAAACCTCCCGAGAGTTGGAGTAAGTTTTCGGCCTATCGTGCCCATCCCTGTTGGGGCCCCAGATGGGGCTGAAAGGGAAGGCATAATGTCATGAAGTGACAAGACAGTTTGGTTAGAGTTGGATGGGTTGGGTATTTAACCAGCGACCGACGGTTACGATTAACCGCCGGTTAATAGGCCTTTTAGCACAGTGGTTTAGACTGCTGCCTCTGAAGGGCACTGTTATATCGTCCCAATGCTGGTTAGTTGGTCTCGTGACAGCGACACATTGGGATCATCCAGGACCAGGGCCATATAGTCGGGGTAAGGAGGGAGGGGCTGGTACTGTGCAGCCTTGGATCCTTGACGCCCGCAGCAGAAACCTGGGGTCTCGGAGGTGAATCTTGGAATGCCGCAGTACTGGCAGGGTGTGGGTGCCCAACGCAGCTCAAAGCGGGGACGTAGGGATATGCGCTACGCCCCATAAAGAGGCCGGGGGTTGGGGGGCTGTGCGGGCTGGCAAATCTGTTGATATCAGCAAGCCTCAAGCAAGCAAGCATGAAGTATGTTACTCACCACAGGGCCCGGGAGTGGGTTGAGCAGTGCATGCATGTTGTGTGCAGGATGGCGAATTGTAGGTGGCTCAGGGTTGAGCAATGCATGGATATCCATAGTGTCGAGACCTAAGCATCAGCATCCATGTGTTATACATGCATGAAATTGACTCACAGCTGTAGTAGACGCACGGAACTGGAAGCGCCAGTTGAGGACTTGATGTGTCGGGTGGGGGTTGCAGTTAGGTGCGTGATGGAAAAGGGGCAGGTAGGCATGCAAAGGTGGGGGAGGGGTCGAAGGGTGGGGGAGGGAGTCGAAATCAAAAGGCAGTTCACGCGCGTGGTACCTTATTTAATCCCCTCACTTAATTTTTGATCGGCCAGGGCTTCACTGAGTTCAATGGTGGGCGCTTGAAAAACCACTCACCGCTTATTTATCCCTTTCATTTTTTGCCACCGAGGATCCTTTGCCACCGAGTGGTGCCTCGGCCATCGGCCATCGCTTACTCATGCATTCTACCTCCGCTGGATTCAGGGTCCGGTCGGGCACATTCTCTCAATGATTCGAGTATACGAAGGATCCACCTCGTTGACTTTGACACAGCTTCTCTGTTGACTGCGGAACCGGTCCTACCTCTCTGTCAAGCCATTGTGCATACGTTTGTTCATTCATACGTTTGTTCATCCATACATTTGTTCATTCATACATTTGTGTGTGTGTAAAGGTCGTGATCTGACAGGCAGCCCGCGTACATATCATCATGGTCAACACACCCATCCCTGAAAGCATGAAAGCACACATGCACTTTGTTGCCGACTTCAAAGACTACCTCGCAGACGGTGTTCCCATCCCCACCCCCCCGAGAGCAATGCGTCAGGCTTTTGTCTATACTCACAGCATCTCTGTTCTCGCCGATCAGGATCATGAGAGAGATGTCATGGCGTTAGATTGTGTAGCTTTTTTGTGGAACCTGTCGTCGGCCAACCATGGTGAGTCGTTCGTTGCTTTGGGTCGCATCTTTGACTGATCTCTGTGGCTGTCCCTCCCGTCCAAGTCGATGGCGCTGCCCTGATGCCCGCTCTTGCCGCTTTCAAAGACGAGATCATGGTGTCCCTCAACCGACTCACCATCGATCTGACGACGGTCAGGAATGACATGACCTCCGTCAAGACGGACGTTGCCTCGCTCAAGACGGACGTTACCTCGCTCAAGACGGACGTTGCCACGCTCAAGACGGATGTTGCTTCCCTCAAGACAGACATGACCGGAGTAAAGAGCAATCTTACGACACTGTCAAAGAAGATGGCCGTCGTGGAGAAAAATTTGAAGCAGATGGGGGATAATCATTGACAAGTCCGATCCCAAGTGAGTATCTGAACATTACGTCTGAATCCTCCCCCCCCCCTCCTCTTCCAGTTGCTTGTTTTTGTCTCTCTTCCCTCTTGGGGTCTTGCTGACAAATTTGCAGACGGCAAACTCGCGATTGACCGCTGGTAGGCAGTCGATGATTCCTGTTCCGTCCACCATACATTCCGGATCACATCCACAGGGTGTACTTCGCACCGTGAGTCACCTCGTCATCTTTCTTTTCCTTTCTTTTTTACTACTGTTTTTTCACCCCTTTCGACCTTATAGTCTTGTACCCCGCTGACTTTGCTTCAGGCGTATCCAATCACTTCTTACACTTTTGTTCAGTACCTTACCGTGCCTGATTTGGACATGTGGATCGAATGGTACGGACGTCAGGGTAACTGGAAAACGTCTGCACAGGATCAAAAAGTGCTGTGGTTGTGCGCATTTTTGGTAGGTTGCGCCGTTGTGGAGGCATGAGGGTCAGTAGGTCACCATTGACATGCATGTGTTCGTCGGCCAATTTTTTTTCCTCCACTGACTACGAGATGATGAACGATCATTGAGGTTTCCCATCCATTGTCCCGACGGTTCTAGCGGTTTTTCACGTCTTGATCCCAGAGAATTTCTTGTTGTTCCTTTTTTCCTGTCACGAAGTGACAAGACAGTTTGATAGTGATAGTGTTAGGATGGGTTGGGTATTTAACCAGCGACCGGCGGTATGCAGTAACCGCCGGTTAATAGGCCTTTTAGCACAGTGGTTTAGACCGCTGCCTCTGAAGGGCACTGTTATATCGTCCCAATGCTGGTTAGTTGGTCTCGTGACATTTCCGTTTGTTTGACCCATGGTCCTGATTGACCCCTTGAAGTTGTCCCTGGTACAAAGGGTAACACTGAAGTGGGATCAAACAAGTTTGGATAGTTCGAAACTGAATAGAATCGCGAGGGTTTGACCGATGACGATAGTAGGGCCCAAGGTGTCGAAGAGATTCTATGTTGAGGACAAGGTTGAAGTCGAGGCCAGTATCAAGAACTTGGTCAGTAATTGGTGAAAACATATGATAATTGATCTCTGAAGAAAACAAAGTATGGAAAGAAGATGTATGTGGGTATAATGGGTGGCAAGTTGTGTGAGTATTTTTCATCTTCATTTCACTCATTCCTTCCTTTCTTCTTCTTCCTCTTGTTGTTCCTCTTGTTCTCCTCATTCCTCTTGTTCTCCTCATTCTTCTCATTCTTCCAAGTGGATTCACTTGTGCCCTTTTCCCCACTCAATTTCAACGCAACCACTTACTCTTCTCTTTCTCCTATCTCTACATATCGTCATATGTTTACATATCACCATGGCCGCATTTGCATATCACCATGGCCGCATTTGCATATCTTCATGATTGCGCTTACCAACTGTCGTACTTGTTTGTCACGGCCGTCGAATAACTTCTTTCCAATAGACCGACGGTCGACGAACCTCGGCTAACTTGGTGGTCCTAATTCGATGTCTCACCCAACCAGGAGGGCGCAGACGTCGAAAGGAGTGTAACTACGGCGTACTTCGGCGTAGTTACTCTAACTGGGATTTGGTTCTACTGATGGCGATGTATCTCGATTGTATATAGCTATCTCTATCTGTCTTTTACTACTGACAACAATCAAGGATCGCTGAAGAACTTGAGCGATCTTCTCAGCTAATATTATCTATTCCTCCTAGACGTTCATCCAACCCTCTCGCGCTTTGACATACTTCAACGCACTTCGTCCAACTTCCCCGAGTCCTCGGCCATCCTCTTCCTCCTTCGACTAACTCCGCCTAACATCGCCGCACTTCTGCTTCCATTGTCCCTACCTAGCCTAACTCCGTCTAACTTCGCCGTACTTCTGCTCCCATTGTCCCTACCTAGCCTAACTCCGTCTAACTTCGCCGTACATCTGCTCCCATTGTCCCTACCTAGCCTAACTCCGTCTAACTTCGTCGTACTTGGTCTCAGATGTCCTGAGTTACGTGTAGAGTAAAAAGGTTAAGGCGTGATGGGGGTTTTGATGGTCAAAGGAGGGTCATTGTTGGTGGAATAATCGAGGTGGTGGAATAATCGAGGTGTCACGACGTAGTCCGTGACAGTAGCCCCCTTCTTTAGCCGCGAACGTCCTCGTGAGCGATTACACCTCTACTGTGGCAAGAAAACTTAGCAGCGTAGTACCCTCATTCTCTACTTCTCCATAGCTATCCTTCGCCCTTCTGCTCTTTGCGCCGCACTAACTTCGTCGAGGTTTGCCGTAAGAAGCCCTGTGTCTTTTGTAGGTGAGACACGCTTCCCGGATGGTAACCAAACAACACCGTTGTTTGTCGAAGTAACCCTCGCTTATATTGAGATGAGACACTATAGCGTGGGAATTTTGATCGTCCCTGCGTTGTCTTTTGTTGATGAAACGCGAAGTTTGCTGCATGTTGACGACGAAGGGGGGTAGGTCTGATCATACTAAATATTGAGCAGTTCGTCGAGTTTCTCTCTTTTCCCCATCTTTTTTCAAAACTATTTACCTCTCTTACCTAGAAAACAGATTTGTTACCTTAACGGCATGGCTCCCTCTACTCCCACTCCCAACTCTTTCGCCGCCATGAGGAACTTTGGTGGTATGGTGTCATCTGCTCGTGAGTTTTTTATCGATACTGACCTCACCTCGCCGAACTTGGCTGATGTTCAGTTTCTTTCGGCGACAGATCTCGCCAAGTCTCCTCCCTTGGCCTCGGCACTCTCTCCCTGGGGGAGCCGTCTGGCGCTGCCTCGCCTCCTCGCTCCGCTTCTCCGCCCCCTGGTTCTCCCTCCCCCGTGTCTGGTTTTCTTGTCCCCGTATCCGGTCCTCCCGGCCCTCGCCGTAGGACGCCCGCCTTTCGTCCTGGTGAGTCTCCGTCCTCGTCCGACCAGGACTCGCTCAGTGGGGGCTCGGAGTCGAGTGATGGGCCCGACACCGAAGAAAGTGAGGATGATGAAGATCGGGAGCGTAGGATTGATAGTGAGGGCGAAAGCGAGTTGGAGGAATACCCGGATGATGATGTGGAGGTGATTAGTGTAGAGGACAACGACGTAGATAGTTCTGAGCGTGAGTCCTTCGTCCACCCTCTCACACCTTCGCCGAACTTGGCCTTGTTTATCTGTTCTTTAGTTCTCCAAGACATTGCTAACTCGCAGCCGTTCATGTTCCCCCCCCCTGCCCAAATCGTGGGCCAGAAACGACACCGTTCTCTCTCCTCTTCTTCCTCTTCTTCCTCTTCTTCCTCTTCTTCCTCTCCTTCCTCTTCTTCCTCTTCTTCCTCTTCTTCCTCTTCTTCCTCTTCTTCCTCTTCTTCCTCTTCTTCCTCTTCTTCCTCTTCCTCTTCTTCCTCTTTTCCCTCTTCCTCTTCCTCCTCTTCCGGGGTTCTCCCCCCCGCCGACGCCATCGCCGCTGCCGCCGCCACTAGTCCTGCTGCTGCCGTCAACCACCCTGCCGTCGCCGCCGCCGTTGCTGCTCCCCCTCCTTCTCCCAGAGGGGAGCCTTCGCCCAAACGGGTGAAGAGATCATTGCGGGAAGAAGAGTATTTGTGGGAGAAGATGAAGTCCGAGCCTGGACGTTGGGTCGCGGTTGGTGTTGATGAAGCGTGTGATCGTTGTCGGTGAGTCCACCTTTTCGTACTACACCGAAGTTACTCCTGCTAATTAGTAGACGTGAGATTATCACGTATAATCGTCCAAACTGGCCCTGCCTCAAGGCAGTCAGGCCACACAACAAAGCCCTCCGTTGTGCTTCATGCACATCTGGTCCCTGCTCCTTCTGTCCCGTTTCCTCTGCTCGGGACGTCCCGCCCCGTCCCTCCGTCTCTTCGCCTTTCCCCCCTCCCCAGACTCCAGCGTCTGTCCCCCGTTCGCGGGTACCATCTTCGTCTCTCCGGTCGGTTCGCCGTACCTCGCCGGCCTCCCGCTCGTCGCCTCCTTCGCCGTCGCCCTTCGTTCCTGTGGCCGGCCCGTCGCGTCTCCCGGCTGCTCCTCCATCGTCCTCCCGTCGCCCTTCGGCCTCTCGTCCGTCCTCTCCCGTGGTGACTTCTCCTCCGGCCCACGGCACCCGAAGTCGCCGTCCTTCTGCTCCTCCGGCCACCCCAGCGGCCGCCCCTGTCACCGAGTCTGTCACGAACCATGTCGTGACATCCCTGACAACCACCATCACCGACCCTCCTTTCACTATCACCGAACCACTATCCACCACCATCCCGAAGCACTGAGACCAACTACGACAAAGTTACGAGTACCTAGGGATTATTAGTCACAACAACCCCGACCAACGGAGAACTACGGCGAAGTTAGGGGAAGGAAACCGAGGGAGAGTGCAGTAGGGGAAGTTAGGCGAAGTTAGTCGGAGTAGGATACCGGGGATATGGCGAGGTACGGCGAAGTTGAACGAAGGGGACTGAGCGCGAGGCTGTACAGGGGTTGAGGGACGTTCTACGAGAAGAGAGGGGAAGTATAGATAGTTTACAGATCGCTGAACTTCTTCAGCGATCCTTGATTGTTGTCAGTGGTGAAAGACAGATAGAGATAGCTATATACAATCGAGATACATCGCCATCAGTAGAACAAAATCCCAGTTAGAGTAACTACGCCGAAGTACGCCGTAGTTACACTCCTTTCGACGCCTGCGCCCTCCTGGTTGGGTGAGACATCGAATTAGGACCACCAAGTTAGCCGAGGTTCGTCGACCGTCGGTCTATTGGAGAGAAGTTATTCGACGGCCGTGACAGAGTCCCCCGCTTCCAAGAAGACTCCAAAGTCTTCATTAAAGAAATCAAGAGGGAAAAGGAAGGAGAAAGAGGTCGTCTTTGAAGGTGGTGATGTGGAAGATGAAGTACTCAGCGTGCTGGGCCCTCTGCTCCTCGGTTGTCCTTCGTCCACCCTCGCATCTCCCTGGACGCTCATATTCCGGAGGATGAAAAGGAATTTGCTATGTATCGGTCTCTCGTTCTCGGCCTCACCACTCAGCTTGACGTCGCTCGACGTGATACATCTCTCTTGCTTGACTTCTCCACTCGTCAAACCAACGCCTTGAATAACCTTACTGCGGCGTTAGTAGATGTAATCAACGGTGGGGATCTGAACGAGGAAGCAAGGACGAGGTTAGCGGACGTCTCTCGCCGAAGTCTTACTGAGATAGCCGATGTTCGTCGAAGATTGTACGACACCCCTTTCCTTGTTACTCCCATGGCGTACGAGCCACCCCCGTCCATCGGCTGGTTAGGCCCCCGGAGTAGTTCTCGTGTCCCTGCTTCTGCTCAGACTGCTCTTGACCTCCTCAGTCTCGCTTTCGAGTGTCTTAGGACCATACGTTCCCTGTGGAGGACTCCGAGCATGCAAGCTGCTCGCGATGTCCAGGACTTCGGTGATTTCTTTGGGGCTATGAATCGGGCATGGAATGCTTCTCTCTCTACTGCCTTCCCCCCTGACAGTCTCGATCTACCTTCGGCCATCGGCACTCTCCACACCAATCCCGCGGGACCGAGTAGAGCGAAAGAGAAAGGAAAAGGAAAGGGTAAGGAGAAGGAGAAGTGAACGGTACGTAGCTGTAATCCTATCTTGTATGCAGTACGTTCTACCTCCTAGCCCTCCGCAGTCGCCCTTCCTTCGGCTTAGTAGGATGAAGTTCGTGGAACTTCGCCAATATGTCATCAGCTCCATCAACGTTCTCTACCGGTTCCCATGATACCGAATCGTCTGTTCCTTCGTAACCTAACCACTCTACTAGGTACTCTAACTTTCCTGACCTCTTATTTACTCTAGAGTCCACGATGTCCTTTACTTCCCACGATTCTCCTACGTTATCTACCTCTACCGGGCCAGGTGGTTCAGCTTGCTGACCAGGGAATACTGGAGGATGATAGGGGCGAAGCAATGAAACATGGAATACATCATGGATACCTGCCATCGTTCCTGGTAATTCCAATTTACAAGCATGAGAACCTACCTGCCGTACTACCTTGTACGGCCCACTTTGCTTCACATCTAACTTCTTCATTGGTCTTTTAGTCTTGATGTTCTCTAATGACAGCATCACTAGGTCCCCTTCCACGAAGCTCGGCGTAGTTCGGTGTTTCCTATTGTATCCTTCGGCGTACTTCTCATTAGCCTTTTCAATCCCCTCAATACATTCCTTACGTATTTCGGTTAGGTCTTTTACTGCTATTGTAGCAGCAGGTACTTCGACTTCACTAGCCTTAATCTCTTCAGCCCATCGAGGGTGGTACCCATAGTTCGCGCAGAATGGGGTCTTGTTTATCGCGGAGTGATGGGTGTTGTTGTAAGCAAAGCTAGCTCAAGCAAGCAGCTTCGACCAGTCGTTCTGCTGGTAGGAAGTGAAGATCCGAAGGTATAATTCCAGGGACTGGTTGGTTCGTTCGGTCTGTCCATCAGTCTGTGGATGATACGCAGTAGAAAGATGTAGTCTTATGCCGAGACTATCGGTCAAGTTCTTCCAGAACTTCGAAGTAAACTTCGATCCTCTGTCCGATACTATACTCTCTGGTAACCCATGCTGGGCCACCACATAGTCCATTATCAGCTCCGATAGTCCAGCTGCGGTTAACTTCGTCGTGGTTGGGATAAAAATGGCCCATTTGGTCAATCGGTCCACCACTACCAGGATGGAATTATTTCCATGGGAATTCGGAAGCTCTTCGATGAAATCCATCGAGATGCTTGACCAGGGTTTAGCAGCCACTTGCAATGGTTTAAGCTCTCCATGGGGTTTCTGTCTGTTAGTCTTTGCTCTCTGACATACCGCACAACCAGCGATGTAGTCCTCAACATCCTTTCTCACTCCAACCCAAACGTAATCCCTTAGGACTAGTTCAAGAGTCTTCGCCGAACCTGGGTGACCAGCCAATGCCGAGTCATGTCGCATCTTCATGATCTTTAGTCGGGCGTCGGCGTAGTCCGGCACATAAGTGCGATCGTCGAATGCGAGGAAACCTCTTGGGGTCCACCCCCCACGAAGTATTAGAGGGGACCGCGAACTACGGCGTAGTTCGGTGATGGATCCTAGTTCCTGCACATCATCGTGACACGCTGGATGAGAACACTCAGCGCAAATGACTCCTAATAACTCCTTCCTAACCGCCTCCACTTCTTCATCTTCCTGTATGCCAACAATCAGATCCATGGGATCAATAAGGTCATTGTCTCTTACTTCCTTTGTCCCTTGCAAAGCACGAAGTAGGTGTCGTAACCCACAGCTAGTGCCGTCGAGTTCGTCGAACTTCGGCAACCCTTGAATAAGGTTGCTCTCTTGCACCATAGTACTTCCTTTTCCAGAGTGGTAGTCTGCTCTTCTCGATAGTCCATCCGGCAGTGTAGCTTGTTTCCCAGGTCGATACACCATCTTAAACCTAAAGTTAGAAAGCTCTTCGACCCACCTGCCCTGCCTCGGGCTTAACTGCTTCGGTTCCATCCAGTATGTCAAGTTCAAGTGGTCCGTGAGAACTGTAGTCTCTACCTGTAACAGTAAGTGTCTCCTTCTTCTAAAAGCCTCAACGATAGCTAGTAGTTCCTTCTCGCCTACCGTATAGTTTAACTGCGCCGCTTGAAACGCTCCTGACTCGATAGCTACCGGATGTTCTTGTCCTAACTCGTTCACCTGCGATATTATGAAGCCCCACCCGAAGAACGAGGCATCTGTCTGTAGTAATGTCTTCAACGAAGGATCAAAGTGAGCCAATACCGGGGCCCTACACATTCTATCCTTCAATTCTTTAAAAGCTCTTTCCTGCTCCATACCCCAGACAAACGGTACATCCTTTCTTGTGCGATCATTGATCGGTTTAGCAATCCTGGAGAAGTTGGGGACAAAGCGCCGATAATAACTAACGACTCCCATAAATCCTCTGCTCTCCCTTAGGTTCTTGGGACGGGGAAAAGACACAACAGCGTCGATGTACTCTGGATTACTAGAAACTCCCTCCCGTGAGACCACAAAACCCAAGAAGACTACCGAATCCTTTTCAAACTCACACTTACTAGCCTTGACGAACAGATTCGACCTTCGAAGAACTTCGAACACCTTCGCCATAGTTCCTCTCAATTCTTCCAACGTCTGACCATAGATGAGTATATCATCTATGTAGACAACCACTCCCTTCCCCAACAGTTCTCTGAAGCTTTCATTCAGAAAATGCTGGAATACAGCAGGAGCATTTCGCAGACCATCTCGAACAACAAGAGACTCGAACATACCGTACTGAGTCCTGAACGCCGTCAAGTGCTCGTGTCCTTCCTTTACCCGTAGGAGTTGATAAGCTCCAATCAGATATAACTTGCTGAAATACCTCGCTTTTCCCAGCTCTTTGGTTATCTGACCGATCAGAGGCAGTGGATAGGCATCGGGTATCGTTGCTTCGTTTAACTTTCGGTAGTCAATGACCATTCGCCATTGACCCTTTGCTTTCTTCGGTACCAAGAACATCGGTGATCCGTAGGGCGAATTACTGGGTCGAATTCTTCCGGCCGATATTTCGCGATCTAGGATGTCTCTCAGCGCACTTCTCTGATCTTCTCCGAGTGAGTAGAGTGGAGCAACCTTCAGGTTCGCCCCCTCCTTAAGCTCAAATTCCAGATCATATTCCCTTGAGGGAGGTAATTCTTCACCTCCCTTCCTCGGGTTAAACACATCAATGAACGGGTGATATTGTTCAGGAACCACCTGATACAATTCCTCCTGTTCCTCCGGACTCAGTTCATCCTGGTCATCTTTGTCTCGGAGATCTATCGCGTCCGTCGGAGTTGGCAGCCCTATGGCTGCTAACTTCGCCGCACTTGGTGGTCTCGGAATGGGGAACTTTACCGAGTTGTCTCTTCCATCAAGAACAACCCCTTCCTTCCTCATCCAGTCCCACCCTATCACAACATCTGCATCGCAGAGTGTTGTTACATCGAGACGAACAGATCGCACTTCGGCGTCCTTCGTCAAACTGAAACCGACTTCGACAAACTCGGTGATAGGTCCAGCGACACTAACCGAGCCATCAAACATGTGAACGGGTACGCTCACCTGGTATCGCATCCTCTTCGCATCAATCCTCGCCGCTGCTCTAGGACTTATATATGAACAAGTAGCTCCAGTGTCCCAGAGCGTAGTTAGTTTAATTCCATTAACGAAAATGGCTGATTTAGGTTGATCTTTAGAAGTGGAAGGGATGAGGAGATGACTATCGACATTGCATGAAC